GGGGTCCCCCCGCGCCCCCAGACTCACGTGATGGCGCGGAAGCTTCGCTTCTCCACCAGCTTCACCCGGAACCGGCGCCGGAACCTGCGGGCAGCGGGCAGCGGGCAGCGGGCAGCGGGCAGCGGGCGCGCCCCGATTCGGGGTTCACCCACTGATTGGGGTTCACCTGAACTTCGGGGTTCACCTGAACTTGGGGGTTCACCCACTGAATGGGGGTTCACCTGAACTTTGGGGTTCACCTGAACTTTGGGGTTCGCCTGAACTTTGGGGTTCGCCCACTAAATGGGGGTTCACCTGAACTTTGGGGTTCACCTGAACTTTGGGGGGTTTCACCTGAACTTCGGGGGGTTTCACCTGAACTTTGGGGTTCACCTGAACTTTGAGGGGTTCCACCTGAACTTGGGGGTTCACCTGAACTTGGGGGTTCACCTGAACTTGGGGGTTCACCTGAACTTGGGGGTTCACCCACTGAATGGGGGTTCACCTGAACTTGGGGGTTCACCTGAACTTTGGGGGTTCACCTGAACTTGGGGGTTCACCTGAACTTTGGGGTTCGCCCACTGAATGGGGGTTCACCTGAACTTGGGGGTTCACCTGAACTTGGGGGTTCACCCACAATTTGGGGGTTCACCTGAACTTTGGGGTTCGCCCACTGAATTGGGGTTCACCTGAACTTGGGGGTTCACCTGAACTTGGGGGTTCACCTGAACTTCGGGGTTCACCCACTAATTGGGGGTTCACCTGAACTTGGGGGTTCACCCACTAATTGGGGTTCACCTGAACTTGGGGGTTCACCTGAACTTTGGGGTTCACCTGAACTTTGGGGGGTTCCACTTGAACTTCGGGGTTCGCCCACTATTTGGGGGTTCCACCTGAACTTGGGGGTTCACCTGAATTTTGGGGGTTCACCCACAATTTGGGGGTTCCACCTGAACTTTGGGGGGTTTCACCTGAATTTTGGGGGTTTTCACCTGAATTTTGGGGGTTTTCACCTGAATTTTGGGGGTCTTCACCTGAACTTTGGGGGTTTCACCTGAATTTTGGGGGGTTTCACCTGAATTTTGGGGGATTTAACCTGAACTTTGGGGGTTTTCACCTAAATTTTGGGGGTTCACCCACTATTTGGGGGTTCCACCTGAACTTCGGGGGTTTTCACCTGAACTTTGGGGGGTTTCACCTGAATTTTGGGGGTTTTCACCTGAATTTTGGGGGTTCACCCACAATTTGGGGGTTCCACCTGAACTTTGGGGGTTTTCACCTGAATTTTGGGGGTTTCACCTGAATTTCGGGGGTTTTCACCTGAATTTTGGGGGTTCCACCTGAATTTTGGGGGTTCGCCCACTATTTGGGGGTTCCACCTGAGCTTTGAGGGGTTCCACCTGAACTTCGGGGTTCGCCCACTAAATGGGGGTTCCACCTGAATTTCGGGGGGTTTCACCTGAACTTTGGGGGTTTTCACCTGAATTTTGGGGGGTTTCACCTGAATTTCGGGGGTTTTCACCTGAATTTTGGGGGTTTTCACCTGAACTTTGGGGGTTTCACCTGAACTTTGGGGGGTTTCACCTGAATTTTGGGGGTTTTCACCTGAATTTTGGGGGTTTCACCTGAATTTTGGGGGTCTTCACCTGAATTTTGGGGTTTTTCAGGTGAATTTTGGGGTTTATCACGTGAATTTTGGGGTTTCCCCCCTGAATTTTGGGGTTTTACCCTGAATTTTCGGGGTTCACCTTGAATTTTGTTTTTTTTTCCCGTGAATTTTGGGGATTTTTCCCGTGAATTTCGGGGTTATTCCCGTGAATTTTGGGCTTTTCCCTGAATTCTGAGGTTTTCCTGTGAATTTTAGAGGTTTTCCCTGAATTTTGGGGTTTTTCCCCTGAATTCTGGGGTTTTCCCAGGGATTTTAGGGTTTTCCTCTGAATTTTGGGGTTTTTCCCCTGCATTTTAGGGG